GTTGGTGTCTATGGGAATTGATTTAAAGGTTGACGCTTTGCACTGGTAACCAGGACGAATGCCTCGTCCTAAAACATATCGGCGGCGTGGTACCAGCCAGAACTGGGAAAGCAAGGTATGGTTTTGAATAGAAGGCAATAGTGATACCGTGAGATGTTTTCAACCTAATTTACATCTTAGCTTTTTTTTGATATGACATTGGGAATTTCATCATTCTGTCTACCGGTCTTGCTGCTTTATGTTCGTCATCTGCCCAGACTCATCTGTCTGTCCTTACGTAGTTTGCTTGTTAATTGTTTGCCTATCTATCAATAAATTTATTTCCCAGAGATAATTTTAAACTACTAAATGCTTCACGTACTGGGATATGATAGCAGCTTTCGACTTCGGGCACAAAAGTAACAATTCAGTGAACTGCTTTGCTTGTACTCCGACAGACCCACCCAAATTTCCGAATCACTAAAACACGCTGGTTTCTTTAGGAATAAACTGTACATTTCAAGGCACACGCCGCGATATGTGTTTACTGTGGACCTGAAGTGACAACGTTTGTGCTTGCTTGCCTCTTTTTGTAAAGAGCAGGTCGAAGAACTCGCCAGGGCATTTGCCATGTAATCTGCATGTATGATGTTCTAAGCCACCAGGGCAAATCCCTCTGCCACACTGTCATCAGACGAGGATCATTTCTTGCCATGATGTCCAATTTTTTTTTCTTATGGTCTTAATGAATAACGAAGGACATTAAAGATAGATTGGACGCAGACCCTTAGTCGTTAAAGTAGTCGTATCCGTCTAAGACGCCCGGGTGTCCATACCACCATCGTAATTCAAGCACGGAATGCGGCCCGCTACCAAAGGGGGGAAAATGGAGAGGAACGGTGGCATTGGAATCTTGTCTGCTCTCAGGCCTTTTGACGGTACATGGCTGTCTTGAAGATCATACAGAATTAATGGGGGGGGGTGATAGATAAATAGAGAGAGAGAGAGAGAGAGACTGAGATTGAGAGAGAGAGGCCCGAGACGCGCTAGAGCACAGCCGGGCGGATTACAGTCAAGCAGCGCGCCGGTTTCCGTTATCGCAGGCTAAGGTATATAGGCCCTCTCTGGCACCCAAGCTGGTGAAGAAAAAAGGGCGGATTAGGTTCGCTTCGCAACCAGGCTGGAGAGTGTATCTGTCAGCTCCAGCCCCTGCCACTCGGCTAGGAGAGCGGCGTGACGGCGTGGCGTGTCGAGGGGGAATCGACTTACAAACTCCCGGCATCCAGCGAGCTGTTCATGCTCAAATTTCCTCGGTCTCGTCTGGCTCTTTCTCATTTTTTTTAATTCCAAAAATGTGCTCGGTCCTCGCCAGCAACGCGATTCCTCTCTTTTTGTCGGGAAAATGAAATAAAAGAGCAATTTAAGGTCTCTGACAAAATAATAATTGTTTCACATTGGTGCCAATTTTGTTGTAAGCATATAAATGCTAGCTCAATGCAGTTGTTTTGTCCATAACCGATAACTGTTTATAATTTTTAAACTGAAGTAAATAAGAATTTTCACCACTTCTAAATACATATTCTCAACTACAAACCTAACTTTGAGCAGAATAATCTCCATCCAAATGCAATGACACAAGAAATATTACCGGACACTCCTTGCTGTGTTTTAGAAGTAACTTTTTCTCTCTCTCTCTCTTTTTCAGGTGAAGTAACTTTCCTTGTAGAACAGAGAACTTTTCGAGCAAGATGATAAGTCGTTTTGCCCATAAGTCAGTTGGCTACGTTTTCGTTCCATGCATACTCACCTTTATCGACTAGTCTGAGTCACTGACGAAAATGTGACTTTTTGGTGTTTATACCGAGCATTTGTGCAGGCACCAATCTGCAATCTCGCTTTCTCATGAATCGGCGGGTCCCTGCTGGCTTTCAGAATCGCCGGTACGGAAATTTGGGGATAAAAAAGAAAACCTCAGCGAGCGCAGAGGCCAAGTTTCCATTTTGGCTTAATCCGCCCTGAGAGGACCGCAGGAAGAAGCCATGAGATGCAACAGAAGGGGGGGGGTTAGGACCTCAAAACGGAGACAAAAAAGGGGAGAGAAAAGACCTGTGACGACTGTAATAGAGACAGAGCTCGGCGGGCTTGTCGGAAGGCAGGGGTAGAAGAGTCGGTTTACCACGGCTGCAATTCGTCGCCATCTGTTAAAATCTTACGGCGACCCGAACGGCTCAGCTCCGATGTAGCTGGGTTGCTTCACGGCGGTCCCGTCTCACACATTTCAGGCGGATTAGAGACACATTAGCTCAGCTGTGCTCGTCCGTTGATACCTATCCAGCTACACTTGACCTGCGTCTCCCGGCCGGTTCCGGCCATTATTTACCCTCGATTTTTCTCTGTTGGGAAGAAGAAGAAGAAGGGCAAAAGGAGCCCAGGGATTTGCTTTTACCCTGGGATGAAGTTTGACACTGTATCAAATATCACGGGTATTTCTCTTGTTTGAAGTACCGGAATTATGGGAAAAGTTAGGCAAGAGTTGTCATAGGAAGATGTACATGGAATCTTTCCAAACTCACTCTGAAATTGTTGACTTCGTCGTTTTCCATGTTTGTTAAAATTTATTTTAACAGTTCTAGCCCAATACAATAATTTTTTTTTCGTCACAGTCACAGAAACACAAAATACCGTACTTTTCCAGACATCTTTATTTAACGAAAAGCAATATAAATTTTGTCCAACTCGACATCCATTCTACTTGGGAAAAGCGGGACAAAATTTCTCACAAAAATTAATGCATTTTGATTTCATTCACAGTGAAGTTTTTTTTATTGTTGAATATGGTTTGCACAAATTCTAACTGCAGACTTATATATATTTGCTGTAATCTTATCATTTTTCATGTATTTAAGAAAAGAGAAGGCTCGTGATTGGAGCGTGTATACCCCGCAGTTGATGATTGGCAATATTTTCACAAGGTTGCGATTTTCGTCACTTGTTACAAGTGGAGGGAGAGGGTGCGTTGGCCACTGTCCATTGTCGTCGTAGCCACTGTGCCCGCTCATGTTGACTTTACGAACAGAAACATTATGAATTGGGGTTAATTTTGCCGCGCTTTCAAGTCATGTAATGAGGCGTCATCCAATTAATTGTGCGACAGCCGAAACTAAGGCCTCACGCACAAAAGAGACGAAACCCAAACAAGTTGCTGGAGAGGGGAAAAAAGGAAAGAAAAAAAAATATTCCTTCAAAATCGACCCAGGCTCTTATAAAGTTACCAGCAATTAAATTAGAACCCCTTCAGCCGTTTGTAGAGGCAGCACAGCGGTGTTAAAGCAGAAAAAAAGGAGGAAAAAAAAAAAAGAAAAAAAAAAGAAAAAAAAGATGAAAAAAAAAAGAGTTCGGAACAACACGATTAGCGCGTCGAGGACCAGGTATAGGCCCGTGGATGGAGAACAAGAAAGATGTAGGGATTTATTCATTCTCTCAAACACCTCCAAGGAGCTTGGTGTTTCTATTCTTCCCAGTCTTTGTCCCAGTTTAGTATCATTTTTTTTTAAAGAAAGTGTTTGGCGAAGGACTGGGGGATATTTTGACAGCATTAACAGGACGGGTTTTTTTTTTAACTCCGTAGCGGGAGTACCCCCCTTTTTTGCCCCGCTATTTTTTTCTCTACCTCCTTCTAACCTCCGGCGCGGCTTGCAATCTTAAAAGATGACCAGCCGTTCATAAGATTCGGTCTTTTTTTTTGCCGTGACCGAAAATGAACTTGTGCCGTTGCTGTTGCTAAGTCGTGTTTTCTCACTGAACCCCCCCCTTTCGGTTCGGATCCTTTGTGTCTATGCCTGTTCTCCTCGTAACAACGAAACCAACCGTTCCATTGTGTAACAGGCGGGTATTATGCCTCTCCTTTTTCGCTTAACCAATTGCCATGGTGACAGGGGTGCCCTTATTGCCAAGTGATACCAATTTGGGCAGGCTGAAAACACGGACGATTTCTAGTTTCACTGGAAAAGACAGTAAACACGGTTCTCGCAAGCACTTTGGAAGTGAATCCCAAAACTGCCATCGTCACGGTAAGCCAAAATATGTTTTTCTCAATTTCCGAAAGAACTATCAAGTTGTTTGATTATCAGAAAAAAAATGCAGCTGAAAGAGATAATTTGATAAAAATGTCTTTATTGGGGATGGAAAGGAAGCATCGAACCGGGGAGGATTTTCTTGAGCCTACAGCTCACGTACAAGGGCACCACTGCTTCCCCCACTCAGGAGCTTTGTCCACATTGCATCTACTTAGAGTTTGAGCTAAAATTGTCTGTTTACCTGAGAAATTTTGTAAAAAGTCAAATATAACAACGAAATGGATTATTCGGCGATATTGGGTCAGTCTTGATTCACCACAGTTCACAAAATGGAGGAGAAAATGCGCATTGGAATTTTAAGACCAAAAAGACATCGAAACAATGAAAATCCACCCCTTTATTTCTGTCTCAAAATGACACCCTATCACGCCACGCCGGTGGGCATCTTTAAAGGAAAATCTTGGGTGATGCCGTACAGAGGGACGAAAATTGCGCGCGCTTCTATTGGCTTATTGGAGTAAACCTTCCCCACCAAACAAACACGTCTCTCTTGTTTCTATTGTCGCCAGTCGTTGATGGTAACTGTGTCCTGAACTGGAAACACTGTCATCGTCATTCGTTGTCATTGCTATCAGTGCTTCCTGCTTTCAGTGACAATGACGTCATCACTGTCACTTTATGTAACAGATGTCATTGAATATTTTGTCAGAAAAAAGTCCAGTTTATGTCTATACAAATTTCTGTCTCTCAGTCTGTATCTTGGGTTTCCCCGACAGCGTCGGTTTTTGGAAAGAGAAACCACCAAGTCGTTCTGACAAAGTCTTCCCTGATGACGAATGTACTTCCCGTCCGCCACCGCAGAATGTATTGTCTTCTGTGCATTTTAACATCTTTTTTGACTCCGGTTTCTCCGGTCTATACTCTGTTCCTTCTCGTCCCCATTCCCTGCCCCGTCCCAGTTCCGTCGGAGACGGTTTAATAACATCATTTCCAGCATCTCATTCTTGTCACATCTTTCAGCTCCTTCATGCATCTAGGCTATCTTCTGTCCCTCCATACGTCTCCCAAACACTTCCTCGTGATCCAACATTTCGTTTCGGATGGCTATTTGGCAGGCACTTTCAGCATCGCCTCCGTCTCTTCGAGCAGACAGGGCATCCTCGAAAGCTCAGAAGGCGGCATTAAAAAAAGAAATCGGCCATCCTTGCCGAGGGAGAATTTGTTCTTGGACACAGGTCAAGTTTAAACTCGGCCGTTTATATTTTTTCCCCGACGGGTACGTCAAATATGACGCATTTGCAGACCGCGAGCAACCGCTCCCCCAGATCGAGGCACCGCGTCGCGGACCCTCCCGTCAGCAACAGACGCGCTGCCCGCCCGCCCGCCGTGTCCTCACCAGTGCATAACGAGCTGATTTAATTCATCATGTCAGACGAAATTTTCCTCAAAAGTCCGCAAATACTCGCGGCTAATTTGTAATAATTACGAGAGCGACTCTAGCGGTTGTTGAAAGCCCGTGGAGAGAGCGTGTTCGGGCCTAATATCTTTCTCCCTCTTCCCTCTTCAAAAATCCCAAGACAAACCGACGCGGGTCTTCGTAGCGTCTCTCTCGGACCAACAGGAAACCCTTGATTCGTTCGAGCTGAGAGCAACCGGGGATTTTTTTTTTTTGGCGAGAGCTTGGATCTGGGGGCAAAAGGGAATAATTGCATGACATTTGCAAAACGCAGCCTAAATACACGCCACTTCGGGAGTGGGGATGCCGATAATTCAAAGTGCCCCAAAACAAAGGCTTATCTGGGGGCACAGACAGATTAGCGACCCTTGTGAGTTTGCATTTGGGGACTTTTGTATGGCGAAGGAGGGAAAATTTCTTTCTTGGGGCCCTTGAATTCTACATGAAGTAGATTAGAATTCTAATCGCGGTGCAATCGAGAGGAAGTTGTATTTATAATTGCCTGCTAAACAGCTGAGTTAAAAAAAGTTTGTCTTTTTATCACTCAGTGTCGTAAAAGTTGTCAAGATGCCGAGGGAACATTTCCCGTGTCCAAAACAGGAGAGGCCACGGCGGCTAATCTCGTTCTATTTTGTGACGTAATGAAAGTTTAGAACGCTATTGACACGGGACGCCTTCAGTCGGGACGTTGTCTTAAGGCCGACACAAAACCTGGATTTTGCTGAAAATGTCGAAAGGCCGAATTCGACGTGTAGACAGCTGTGTGATGATTAGTACCATGCACGCTGTATGCTTGTCCATTTGTGGCCCTCAAGGAAACTACGAACATTGTCCGTGGTGCAAGGTTTCCTCACAACATTTTCTCAATCGAAAATAAACCAAGTTGTCTTTTCAGGTTTTCCAAGCTGTTTTTGTATACTAACTGGAGAGCAAAGTTGTCTTTAGGGGAACGTCACAAATTTGTCCCTTGCAGAAGACCAAATTCAAGCAAACACTGTTGTCCCTTCTTTTTGTCTGCTTTATAATCCCCCACTTCCCCCCACCCTCTGCTTTAGTTACCATCTTTTGGCCACTCATCACCACTGTCCCCTGTCAAGTCTATCTTTGATCCAACTCGTCCGTCTTACGCTCCCCTCCACGCGGTGCAGGCGGAGCGCGCCCGACGCACCCCAAGCCCGCCCGTGTGCTGACCGGCTTGCTCGTCCGAGGCCCTCTTCCGTCCGTTCGCCTGCGTTCGTTCCTCGGCCTCGCGTCGTCGTGTCTTCTGTCTTTAATAAAGCTTCCCTCTAAACACCTTGGCCAAAGTCTGGACCACGCGTCGGGGGCCTCCCTGGTGTAACCTGGACCCCTCATCATTGGGGAGAAATGGTAACGATTAGAGCCCGCGTACGGGGGGAGGTCACGGAGTCGATCAATCGTTCGTAGTGAACCCCGGACGATTACTAGGTCGCTTAGCCTAGATTTCTTCGGCAAGTTAAAGATTTCTTTCGGTCGAGTTGCGCCGCGGTCAGATGATCAAATTACGTATCTTATACAATTTGTTCATTGCATTTGCTATCAGTAAGTACTGGAAGACATTAATTGCATTTCGAAATAATTGGTTCAAGCCAGTTAAGTAAAACTACATCTTTTATTTTCCATGAAGATGTTGCACAGGTGAAACCTTTCATGTGCATCGTCGTATCGTCACACTTGCAATACATCCCGTGCAAGTTTAATATCCCAATTTGAGGTATTTGGATGAAACTGAACGCGCAGACCATCTTCCTCCTTGGCAAAAACTTCATCAGTGCTGACTAAAGAATTGCAGCCCACTTATAATCTAAAAAAAAACACAAAAAAAACTCGAAGCTTGAAATTTTCGGTTTCAAATATCCCTGTAATGACAAATTGGACAAAGGTGCGGGTCCTTTTTTTCCTGACGTGTTTGCAATGTCTGCGCCAAGCCTTCGTTTGTAGCGACGGCGCAGGTCGACGATGTACGCGACCACACGTAACCGGAGGATCTCAACTCCGTGTACTACCACATCCATCATTGTTTCTAACCAATAATTAACCCACTTTTCGAGGTTTTTTCCTTCTTCTTTTCTTTAGCGCCCCTCGATTTTTGTATTTAATTCCACATCCGATTTCTGATTTCTAGATGGTGTGTGGGTGTGTGTCCTTATCCACATTGGCCGAACACGGATCACCCTACCACTTAATCGTATTACCAGCGGGGTCACGTCGTGTCGTATTTCTACATCTTTGTCCGATATTTTCGCTCCACTCTGCACGTGTGACCGCAATCCGCGTGCGCTTGCTTCGCCCAAGTTCTTTGATCGAGTGGAAGTAATTAACGGCTTGAAATGAGAGCCCAGATTGATCGCGTTTGCTGACCCTAATAAAGTGTCAGCCCTCCTTGGTTTGGCTAGATTTGGGGGGGGAAAAATCTGTTTCATATATAGAGACCTATCTTTTGTTTACAAACAGTGAGCGCCATTTTGCACGGGCGGCCATGACATGACGTGAATTCAACCGTGGTTGGCTACAGCGTAATAACAAAAATAGGGAGGGCACACCCACTACGAGAAGTCAGGTGCCTTCATTTCGCATCTGATATTGTGTCTGATTGTCACAGGATCCATGTTTCCTTGAACTTTTTTCACATGTGGTTGGCATAAGCTAGGATTTTGACGTAGTGAAAGGTTTTGTGAACGAAAGTCCAACCCAAGACAGAAATATTTTGGTATAGCATTATCCTTGACACCCGAAGATACAACCGTGAAATTGTGTATATGTTTTAGGATTATTTGTTTTTTAAACGTCATTTGAACTTTTGCTTTGGAGACTGCAGTCAACAGGAAAGTCTTTCTCACACACAGACATGACAAGTTACTAGGGCTACATCCGAAACTGTTGTCTAGAGCTAGGTCTAGGTCTTCACTCCATTGGAAATACGCTGAGACGCGCAGACAATAGACCTAACCGCAGCTCTGGAAGCCCGTTTCGGACACGGCCGTCATACACTTTGTTACACAAGTTGTCAGTTAAGCGCAGTGAGAAATTAAACTGAAGTGTTAGCACTTGACAAAATTTCCTTGAAGAAAGCCAGAGACGTACAGTCCTAGTTTCCCACCTTTCTTTTAACCGTGATCAGTCTCGCACATTCAAGCAGTGCCGGTCATCGGGAAACCTCTCAAGAAGTTATACAAATATCAAAATATAAAAGACAGGAACTCACGTTTTGAATTAAAAGAGAACGGAGGCAAATGTTGCTCTGTATCGATCTGAAATCTGTCCGTGGGATTTATTACAGACTTTAAAACATGAGCAATGGGCAAACCAGAATCGCTTGGTATGTCAGCCGATAGTTTGCAACATGCATGCAAATGAAACCTGCTAGCTTGCCCAAAACATGATAATAAATATTGATCGATGTTTTTAGCGCCCTAAGATGTCGTTAAGTGACTTGTAAGCATCTTTGTTCACTTGCGTTGTTTAGACATGATGAGATGGTGATGCCTTATTATTGTTGTTGACACCTCCGTCCGAAGTGGAACATCTCCTCGGCAAATAAAGTGGCGCTGGGTAAAAACGCGACTAATCTCGAGACCATTCCACCGGATAATCACTTCGTATTGTCTCACAGAGAGAAGCCTTGTCATCTTCGAAAGCAGAGAGTCACGGAGGCGTCGACGAGTCTTAGTTTACCCAATCACCCCACTGTCAGAACAAGAGGAGCTTTTTATCCGCGTGAAAGAAAGGATGGAGAAAATATCGGAAGGTGGAGAAGTGTTTGCCTTACGCGAGAGAGGTTTTTGTGTCAACCGGCGCACCGTTGTTCGAAAATAACGGGGAGATAATCTGCCGATTGAAGGCCTGTTGTTGCGACTCAACACGGTCCAGGCGCAACTACGAGAAGGAGAAAAAAAGGGAAGCTCGTGTTTGAATGTACTCTGACACTCTCTCCTTGTTGATACTGTTGCCTCTCACTAAAGTAAACACACCATTTTGGAGGTCCATCTCCCGATCTGAGCCATGGGACGGCCAAGACGATACCCACACTTGCGTTTTGGAGGGAGAGACGCATTGAGATTGTGCGGGTTGGCGGTGGAGCAAGGTACGGGTAGGGTAGGCATACTCGGGCCGCGGCGTGAATGGGGGCTTTTGCCTCGGTGGCATTGTACCGTCAATGTCGGTGTTGCCTGAGGGCTCTGCGATGGGGGCTATGGCCATGTAAGGTTGACATCCCAGGGGAACTAATTAGCCTCAGTGGGGTAAACATTGCAAAATAAATCTACGTAGCCATCTTTGGACGCCACTTAAAATCCTGGACCGTTGCTATGCAATGTTACAGTCTCCCTCGCTTTTCTGTGCATGCTTATTCAAACACTTTAGGCTGAGACAGTATTGTTTGGAAGAATACCAAGAGGTGGACTTTACAGTAGTGCAGTAACATCAATCTACTTGTATACACTACTCAAAAACTTGTTATTTTGTGTATAATTTTTTTCTATGAGATATTTTCCTGCTGAAAATGTGCATTTGATGTTTTGAAACACCTTTTAATTTGTTTTTATTCCGATGAGAACACCATCTTGACAAACAAAAAATGAAAGAACTAGAGCTCACTCATTACTTGGAGAAACTTACAAGTTAAGAAATAAGTGGTCCTCAACTTCTTTTTGAGTAGTAGGCCTATATTTTATTGAGCTCAATGACAAAAGATAATATTTGCTTTATTTCCATATTTTCCCCTAAAAACCAAACGACAGGCTCAAGGGTAATCTGCCATTAACAATATTGGTCCTGTAGAACTTGAAATCGGATCAATAAAACCAAACCAACATTTGCAACACCGCCTTCAAATAAGAGGATTTCGACTTTCTGTGTTATATCTTGACAGCGTACAATGTGGTCTGTCTAACACACGGCTTAGTTCAGGGACGAAAGATCGTACGACTCGTGCAATATTGTTGTCTCCGCACGGAGAGTGCGGAATATGCTCCATCTATAGCATGGCGCAGCAGGCATCTCCGAGTTTCGTAAGGCGAAAGCAAGCAGTACCGTTCTATTGGTCACTTAACTTGGAGTCATTTGAAGTTGAACTGTCATCGTAAAAGGAAAAATTGAACTCTGTAACCACGGCTTCAGACGTTTGATTTGGAAACAGTTGAGTTTTCGCACGAGCTAATTTTAGAGGACGAAACTTGTTCAGTAAAAAGTACTTGCTCCACAGTTTGGCTTCAATACGATTAAAAAAATTGAACCTGCCAATTTCAAATGGCAGTTAGGTTATGGAAACAGTGGTTCAGGCTGCCATGTTGGGATATACATGAGCTAAAAATAGCCAAACCCAATTAGAATGACAACTGAAATACCTGCATATATGGATACCTCTGGGACAAATTTAACTTCATTTTTTGGGTGTAGTTTTTCTAGCCATGTACATGAAGTTAGGTACCGGACGAAATAAATACATTAGGAGAAATTATTCTGCGTCGACCGGAGCGGGAGGGCTATACTTTGGCGCCATTCCCTCGCAACCAAATCAAATTATTGATCTTGATTTGACTATGTATGCGTCTTTCCCCTGAAAGTTCCCTCCCAGTCATTCCTGTCTCCGAGAGACAAAAGCCAAGCAAATGAGAGATGACCCAGGATGATGTTTTTCTCCCTTCGTCTCCTCCGAGAGTGAGCGCCATCAATTGAAGACGAGGCCAAACAAGAAAAATCGAGGATACACCACCGGGGGGAAGGGTGGTGTCTTCTCAATAAGACAGGGAAACACGAGGAGGGAAGTCAAGATACTTACCTGTCCGCCCCGTGTTCTTTTTTTGCCTCTCTTGGTCTGGGAGGCACCGAGGCCTTCGTTAATTTTAGCCGGCCTTCTCGGCTGTCCTTGGACCAGAGGCCGGGGTGAGACGCGCTACAATAACGGGGATGTCTTGGTTGCCGTCTTAATGAAGACGACTCGTGTTGTAAAATACCCCGCGTGGACGCACCGGATACTACCGGATCGTGTATCGCTTACAACTTGGAACGGCATTTCTAGTGCAACAGGGAAACCTCTTTTTTCAATAGCAGTTCTTGGCATCTTTTTGGAAGGAATACGCCTGCATGATTACAGATTGGAGAAGTTTGAAACTTGCTTGTTCAGACATAATGTAAGGGTCGTCTTGACCGCTAATTTTAGTTTTACTTCACATGATAATCTTGGAATGGGTGATCCAAAACCCACAGAGAATCAATCTCCTTTCCAAGATAAAAAGTTTCTATAGTTAGTCGGTCATGCGTGGAATTCTTCCAATAAAGCAGCGTCCCCCACTTCAGGATTTTTGCCTCAAGCCACTTTGAGTTCTGTAATCACGCATTTTCCACCATCTATATGCCGGCATGTTTCCAACGGAGTAAATTTGAGTTCATCATGATCCAAATAATTTTCTCTTGTAGCTGAAAAATTGATGATGTAATTACTTTTTTGGGGTCGAAACTTTGAATGATTTACTGATGACTGCTTCTTATTATGTTGAGATTCTTCTTACACTACTCGTACGTGACTTGTTCCACGCGGTTGTTAGTCTGCCTTTGTGCACTTTTGCTGAGGCATGCCTTCAGAAAATACCTTTATCCAAGGTCTATGTGGCTTTTTGTATTCGTCACTTACCTGTCAAATCTTTCATACGTGATATAGTTTCCTCATTAGTATGCTTGAATTATGTTATACAGTGTTCTGCACTGTGCTATCCTTATGGCAGTACATGGATGTAAAATGTTACATGTATAATTTGCAAAAATGGATCTTGTTTGAGATGTTGTTTTGGTTTTTTAAACCCTTATATTCGCCATTAAAAAATGAACACCTTAAACTCGTTCCACTAATTCACCAAGAGCTTATTGACACAAATCCATCTCAGCTCTCATAATTGATCGGCGGGCGAGCTCAGAGGCGAAAGAAAGGAGAGAGAGAGAGAACAGCGCGGGAAAACAATTTGCCATAAATATGCACATTCACGCATCGCCTTGGCAACTCGCTGCGGGCAACGGGTGCAGGCGTGCCCCGTCACACCTATCTCGTGCCCTGGTCATGGATACACTGGCCCAGCATATCGGGTCCGAATTACGGCGTAAGTTCCCCTTAAACAGCCTGGGTGTTGTGCACTTCTCACGGCTGAGTTCTTCGTCCCCGCGAAAATCCTGACGAAGTCATGAATCCAGCGCTTTTTTTTTTTTTACTTAGTTGGCCTTTAACACACGACAGCGTATGTTTCAACACTCTTTTCGCTCACACTCACAGGAAATGTCTGGCGCCCTGAAATCAACCCATCCTAAACTTTTGAATGTGATCATCGGGGCCAGCTTAGTTCTTTTATACTATAAGGCTCCCTTAGTGTGGTCTTCTTCAAGATGAAAATAAACCAGGTCACATGATTTGTTCAAGTAAAGGCTTTTGTAGTTACATGGAATATGTAATACCAAAAAGTCATGGTAATTTTTCCCCATTATCTTGTGTCTTTCCAGTTCCTACCAGGACCAAGGGGTGGAAACAAAACTTTCCAATTCAAAGTTTTGATCCAATGTGCGCGCCGGTCGGGATCAAGTGTCTCTCCCCGCAGCCTCAAATCTGATTAGAAAGTTGAAGCGCGCCCTCTACCAATCGATAATTTCCAAGCCGTTGGTGCAGGGCTCTGGTGATCCATAGACGTTGGGAGCCCCGACAGCTGACAGGACCACACGTGGTTTAGCCGCTGAAGGTAAGTTCCTCCAAAGAAAAGATAGAGAGAGAGAAAAAAACCGAGAGATGTGAACAAACAAGAATTGTTTGCATAGGATGACTGGAAAAATCCGCAACAAAACACTCTGAATCTCGGGTGAAAACAAGGAAAATATCCTGTGTGAATTTTCGAGCCATCTACACCGCAGGGCTTAGCTCCAGTTTTGCGGGATAGTTTTGATATTCCAAGATTAAACGTAGCTAAACAAAAAAAACCCTTACGATCTGCCGTTAAGTTAGGCCTTAGAAATTTTTTTGTATCAAATACCAGCATAGGCAGCTGAGTTACATTAATTTCTTGAGTTACTATTGGAGTCCATTCGTCTTTTGTTAGTTATTCTTTACAATGATCCAACTTAAGGGTCCTCTGAGAGCAATAAAATCCATTTTATGCGCATTCATTTGATATCGAAAGTAATTTCCGAACGTGTACAGGATAAAAGGCGAGGCTCACAGAGCTGCACTTGTGCTACATAGTTTCTCCTTACATGTCGGTTCGCGCTGTACACCACCAGACCCCGAGCTGATGTAGCGAGTTTTTTTTTCGTGTGTGCAGCGCTGTTTGCTTTGGCCCCCTCGTACACTGATCTTCCATTGAAGGGGCCCGTCTCGATTACAGGCCGGCCAGCGACGGCAAACATCAGACCCGCGCTCCCCTTCGACTGCCCGCTGGGAGGGCGAGGCCCGGTAAAGGGCACGCTGCGACGGTGGTGGTGCCTGGCCCGTGCCGGCCCGGACCTGCCCGGCTCCGTTGTCATGCAGAATGTGCATTGCTGGTGTCTCTCCTAGCCTTCTTTTTCAAGGATTAATTTGGGTGCCCTTCTCAGTTACCTGTTTCTTATGGTTTCCTTTTCTTTCGACTTCCATTTTGCTTGAGTCGAGTTGACTGTTGAATAGTGGATATTTAAAAAAAAGAAGCCAAATCGTACCCAGAAACTTTACCCATCGGTCGCACGGTTTCATTTGGAGTAGCGTTGGGTAAGTTTGAAGAAGCGGCTCAGTGAGTATCTGGGTCTATTCTGTGAAATATTGCCTTCCTTTGTCGAGCACTACTAAGGCCCTTGTTTTACGCTAAACTCACTTGCGTGAGCGATGCTTTTTGTGACCGACAAAACAAGATGAGTTTATTCAGCAAGTTGTCTGCGTTTTTGACGTCCATAATTTGGGTAGGCCGAGTAATCATGTTGTTCCTGTTTTTGCATCCTTTCAACGAAAATACGGACCGATTTCCCGTCACAGGAGGAAACTGTAGGCCCCCGATGTTTATAAAGTTGCCCTGTTCAAAACCAAGCCTCGAGTATCCGGCATTTTCAGTGGGTAGTGTCATCTTCGTGTGGGTTTAGGGACAACATGGCAAACGATGTTTACCCAAGTTGTTGCCATAGACAAAGCTCTGGTTGATGGCAACGCTTAGCTTCCTCGTGGTATTGTTGATGTGAGTGTTATTGTATGTAATGATGGTGACGATGATCCCAAAATTCTAATTTCCAAATGCTCGACAAGTATTGGAATGCAAGTATGATTATATGCAAGAAAAATGAGACGTCCATGGATTTTTTTTGGCGACCGATATGCCTCCACTGAGTCATACTGTGTCAGTTCTCTCTGACACAAGTGAAGATGATTCCGAATGACTCAAATACATTGTTGACATTAGCAGGTTTGTTAAGCACATTGTTTTGTTTTTACACTCACGTCAATTCCGTGTCACCAATGCAAGACAATGTTTCTCAGAAATGTTTGTGGTTTTTTGGAGTTGGAAAATGTTTCAGAATGACACGGTCGAACTGGCCAATCGTCAATTGTGGATTCGTCACGACACCAGCAAAACACTGGAAAGTTCGTGTATACCTGTGCCGAGCGTCCAGGACAAAAATAAATCTTGTCTCGTTCATCCCAAACCAAAAGCCACAGTGCGACCTTTTAGAAGAATCACTTCATCACCCAACTTTGAGTCTGCTTCCTTTGATCAAATCAACTTGAAGAGAAATAACTCCTTTGTTCCCGCATGGAGGATTACTAGCTTTTTTTCTGACCAGAGGAGAGTAGTGGAAAGCGACGTTTAAGTTTTAACGAGAAAGCCTCCTAACGTTAAGCAGGACGTTGTGGGTTCGAATCCCAACCGAGCAAGCTGATGATTTTGTGGCATCTCTTGGACACTGATACAGACTACAATGTGAACATACCTCTACGTCGATGTGAGCGCAAAATCTTGTATAAAAATTAACATCAAAACGTAAAGTTAAAATATGGGAAAATTTCAATTCGACCAAACTTTACCCAATCAAAATGTTCACCTTAAATTAGCTGATAAAGAACAACATCCAAACACAAGAATGATTTAAGAGCTCAACCGTTTTACTTTTTTTGTCTTCAAATTCATATTTTTTGTTTGCGTCTCCGATGCGATCCATAACTCGCCTTTCTTTTCGTGAATTTTGAATTCTGAAATAAGGAATAATCTCGGTCAAGTCGCAATTTGGCCAGCTCGGGCCGACTCCGGAAGGTTCTGGAAAGTAGGCCACGCGACAATAGCCTGAGCGGGCAATGTCAGTCACCTCGGAGCCGGCGATCGCACAGAAAGATCCCCGGCGAAAGAGGCTAGGCCTCCGAGAAGAAGGGGAAAGAAGGAAAGGGGGGGGGGTAAAACGAAAGCTGGGAGGCCGTTCACATTTCACGAGCTAGCGATTTTAATCGCTCCTGACAGAATGCCGCGAGTGAACTCTGGCAGCCTCACAACGGTCGAGCGGCCACCGAGTCCCAACACCCGCCGTAATAACACCAGGGTTTGTGTGATACCTAGGTGAACTGTGCATCAAAAGAAATTTTTTTTTTTGGTGAGATTTTTTTTGTAGCTGTGCTGACTGAGCTCTTGAAGACCAAGCAAGGAGAGGTAGGGGGAGAGGGTTTAGCCAGAGAATATTAATCCCCAAATGTTTGGTGTGAGCAGCTTGGGACTGATTGGGTCCAGTCGTGGTCTCGATTTTTACAATTAAGCAAGCCCATCAAAAGAACAGTAATTTTAGCGAGACAGTTCAAAAGGCAATCTCATGGTCCTGGCTGGACGGAGCTTGAGAGAGAGAGAGAGAGAGAGAGAGAGAGAGAGAGAGAGAGAGAGAGAGAGAGAGAGAGAGAGAAATAATCTGTTTTTGCCTGGTGCGTTTGTGATATCGGAGCAGGCGAAGGGGCCAGTTGGATTCTGCTCACCGTCCGTTACGCGCGGTCGATGCTCAGTTTCCTCTTCGGATCGTCTCACAGTTCATACTCGGTGGACTCTTTACAAGGAGCAGCAGTGGCCGCCCACCTGGCCCCGGCTGATAACGCGCCGTGCGAGCACACGCGCATTGTCATCTCCTATCTCCCTGTCAGCCCACATTACGTCTGCCGGTTGCGTCTACACAATGCTCGGTCGCCCTTACCCGTGTGTTAACACACCGCGGGCTGCCTCCTATGCCAACTACTCAAGACAAACTCAGCCCTGCGTCCAGCTTCCCTTGCAGCAGACTTGCCTCAGAGCTCCCTGGCAAATCCAAGAAGAAAAAAGAAAGAAATATATCCGAAGCTCTGAGCCGGTAAAACTGGGCTAAATTCCTGGTGACTGGTCTGCATGCAGTCCGTCTTCTTTCGCCTCCGAGAATCGGCAAGGTTTTCAGTGGGTTATACCTTTTTTCCCCCTTCATCCTCCATGGGAAGTTGGTTAACTGTCGTCTTGAAGAGATGCTGTTCACCAGCAGGCACGATCCATCGAGAGGGGGTGCATAGCAGTTTTCCCCCTCGATGTTGTTTACCGTCCGAGGGCTAAGATGACTTGGTTTTCATTTGGGGAGGACAGCGCAAGAAAAAAAAAACTAAGAGAGTTTGAGACATGGAAATCACTGTCAGAAAATGTCTATCGGGAAATGAAGATTTCTTAGCCCGGGAAATCCGGCAGGCGAGATTGGATCGGTGTCGGCTGGGTTGAGGAGAATCTTATGCCAGGGGAGTATTCCTGAGACTTGGCTACGGTGAGAACCGGATAGGGGACGGAAAAAAAGGAGCACTCTTGTCAAATCCCTGACTGATTGTGTCCCAGCCAAGTGGGAACTGTTCCCGAAGTCGACTTTTGCCATTTGGTCGACTGCATAATCTTCAAAAGGAGGCAATTTTCAGAAGTGTATTCGGTTACCAGTATCACACTAATGTTATCAGGGAGCCGTGATTTCTACGCAGATTTGCAAAAATAAGATTCATCATGAATAATCAAAATCATCCTTTTATAATCCATAAAAGCTAACTGATTTCCTAGATCCTGATACTCTTTGCCTCACGTAGCAATAAAAAAGATGTTAAAAATGACAATGTCTTGAATCCCAACGAACAGACCTACAACCTTCACATCAATGAATTATTAATCCGAGTACAGTATCTCCATTCATTTCCTCATATAAGCCCTTTCTCTCTTTCTAATATACCGTTTGGTGGAGTAAGATGGAATTGGCTTAATAAATATCGAATCTCGCGGTCACTCTGTGGTCTTAACTTGAACGACTCCACGGTGGTAAAGACGCAGAATCCCCCTCAGCGGTATTGTAAATCATACAAAAAAAGGACGGCGATTTCATTACAGTGGGGCTCCGATAATATCGCACACATCAAGAACCGCATTATTGAGCTCAAGCTACGCATGAAAGATTCAACTTGGAATTAAAAAAAGAGGGGGGGGGTTGATCACACATCAAAAAAGGAGTTTTTATCGCATTTCGATTGAGGTCATGAACCTCAGAAGCTGTGGCGATTTTTTTTTCGTGGTGCCTTTTTTGGCTGTGAGAAGCGTTGGATATGTCAACTTCTCTTCTCGGAACATGTTTCTTTGTCATAGTCGTTCAGCTGTCGCTTCCTTGTCATAGTCGGTCATCTGCATGTCGCCGTCATTGCTTTTGTTTTCCTCATGACAACTCTATTCATATCAGTGTATACTTTGGTCCGATCCTGTATATGGGG